CATCACCACCTTGAGCAAGGTAGTTTTCTCAGCTGTGACATGGGGCCATTAGCAGAGGGCCTCTTGTCGGTACTGTATGAACAGTGAGCCAGATGGGGTACGGTGTATACAGTGCATAGAAAAGTGGCTAATACTTAGCAGGCGTACAACTCACGCCAGCTATGGGACTGCTCCCATTATCCTGGCCCTTCAGCTCCCTTTCTTCCGGCACTTGAGCTGTGGAGACCCTGAGCAAAGCTGAGTGGGTTTCAACTGAGGTCTGCTTTAGGAAGGCTACAATTACTTACTGCCTGAAATATGGTTGAAACTGACAGTGTCTTGTTAGATCCCAATGCCTCATTCCAGGGGTTCTCTAAAATGGGGGGTGTCCTGGGGAGATGTAAATTCCAATGCCCAGGCTCAAGATTCCAAGTGAAATCAGAATCCCCAGAAGTGGAATACCAACATCAGGACTCCTAGATTCCCCAGGTATTTCCAACATTCAACTTGCTTCAGCAGCAGCTGACCCAAGGGTCCAATCTGCTTAGAGACGGAAGCAGGACAGAGGGGAAAGGCCTCCACCGCTGGGCTGAGCTGTCTCCTGAAGCCACTGTAGCTCATCAGGCTTTGCTCCATCAGCACCCTCCCGGGCAGTCTGGATATCACTCAGAGAGATCGTTAGGTTGGTAACAGACTCCATAAATCCCTCCTGGACACATAAGGGCAGCGAGTACCAAGCCATTCGGCCAGGCGGGTCCTTGAGGGGAAAAAGTAGTAGAGCGTGGTGACAGCTGGGTGCAGTCCTGGGCTCCCTTGCCAATGCTATGTGACCCAGCAATCATTCCATTTTTGAACTCCAGTGTCTCCCACAGTAAAGGACCCTAAGAACTGACTTAGCAGAGGTAAACCGAGCAGCTGTGCCTCACATTGTGGAGAGTCAGCCCAGTCTGAAGCACTCTCATTTCTTGCTCCTTATTAGAACAGGAATGGTCCAGGAGGGAAAAGCGCCTCCTTCCGTACCCTTCACAGACTGGCAGGGAGGAGCTAAGGGTGGCCATGGCCACAGGAAATGCTCCTGGGGGCAGTGGACTGGTGCCTGCAAAGGTCCACATGCAGCAGGTGATAGAGCAGCCACACGGGGTGTGCCCCAGCTGTCCCCTCAGAAACGTTCAGATAGCGGGTGTTATCTGGGAACAATGGAACCACCGTGCCGTTGTCCTGGCTCTGAACCTGAGAAGAGAGGATAAGACTCCAGAAAACATGACCTCACGCAGCTGGCCAATTGGCCCCAGCAAATCCGGCCTCCTTGCTTGTTCGTTCGTCCATTCACTTGTGGACCTCACAAGACAAGCATATCCACTACACACCAAGAAATGTGCTAGATGGTGAGGGTGCTTAATGAATAAGCTCAGTCCCCACCCTCGCAAGGGACAGAGACAAGAATGGCAGGCAAGTAACACGCGCTGACAGACAATAAGAAACAGAAGTAAGGAGCGCTGGCCCTTGATGGGTGAGTCTCCTGGACACCACGCCTGGTACTGTATACTGAACATGGGAAGCACTGTCCCATCAAGGTAGGTGTCAGTGCTCAGTGCTGGAGACTCGGGCCAGAAGCTCAGAGAGGCTGATTATTGGACAAGGGCGGGGTGTTTCTTGGGGGGCAAGGACAGTTGTAGAAAGCATTATTATTTTTATTTTACATTCGCGAGTCCTTCCTGTGTGATAGGTGCTGGGCTGAGCCTCCCTTTCTGTTTGCTTGCTTCTTTCCAACGCAGAGAAACTAATGGTTTCCGTTAGAACTTGGGCTCCTGGCCCACATGTGCGCTCCAGCAGCAAGTGACCTCTAGCTACTAGCTACTCTCTGGGCCTCAGTCTGGGCCTAGAGGTCATCTCTAAAACAGAGACTCACTCATGCAGCAGAAAATTGCTAGGCACCTATCACGTTCAGAAGAGTGAGGTATTGCACAAAACCAACAGCAATCTCTGTATTTATGGGGCTCCTGATCAGGCAGAGGTGGCAGGCGTTCAGCAAATAGGCTCAGTCCAGCTGTGGATCTCAGTACACAGAAAGGCAAGGGAGATGGGGTGTGAGGTGGGTGCTGCTACAGGGAGGCCAGCAGGGGCCTCTTGAATACGATGACACACAAGCTGTGATGCGTGTACACACATGGGCATGTGCAGTGCTTACTGAGTACTTCCTCGATGTCTCACGTGGGGCAGTCCATTCCCCTCTCCCTGACGGCCCCATAAGGAAGATGGTGACAGTGCTGCCACATTACACACAGGACAGGGAGATGTGCTGGGGTAACAGGAGACATTCAAAGCAGAGCAGGCTATGGAAGGCTTCTGCCTTGTGCGATGCTTTGCCCATTGGCACTGTGATGACCTGTCTTCCAGTCTGGCTTGAATTCTCCTGGATCCCTTAATGCTACCCTGATTTCAGAGCTTCAAAAATTAAAAGTGCTTCCTGGCCTCACAGCCCTGTCCTGGGAAAGCTTGTGATAACACAGGGACTCAGCTGCACTGGGGACCCAGGAGCTCTGTGTGTCTAAAGACTTCAAATTCACTGAGCACAATGAAACCTCAGTACTTTATCACATTACAAAATCCATGAGCACAGTACTACAGCAAGCTGGGTGCCTGGGGAAGGTGGATCTCACCTAGCTCTTCACAGATGGAGACACTGCTGCTCAGGGAGGTGAGAGGCCTCTCCTAGGTCACCATGCAAGCCAGAGGCGGAGCCAGAATTCCAAGCTCCTTGCACAGAGCCCTGGGTCTCTTCTGCCCTCTTCCCATTCAGAACTATCCCCAGCCTAAGAAAGTGGACGGTCCACGTGACCTTGGACCTTTATTATCCCGGGCCCAGAGAACATCCTAGCCAGCGGGAAAGGATAGTCTTATTTTTGATGTCTCTGACATCTCTAACATGAAAATACAGAAGCCTCCAGTTTGAAACTTGAGCACTGACATGACACCACCAAAGTCAAATTCCACCCCAGGTGCTGTGGTTACTTTTCTCCTTGCAAGAACAAAATAATGACAGTCGCAAATTAAAGACATTTGTTTTGGTTTATTTTAGAAGTTTGTCCTTCCAGGCCAGCAGCACGGTGGAAGGGCCCAGCTGGGGAAGGAAGATACCTTTCCAGGTCACAAGTTCACACACCCATGACCCACTCCAACCAGGCCGCTCAGTTGAGCTATGGTGCCCCCATAATCCAATCACCCTCTGAAATCTCTACCACTGAGCACATGGGCCTCTTGGGGGTACATCTAGCCATGCACCATAGACTCCTGTATATAACTACCATTAAAAATCTCGTATATAACTACCTTCGGCCCATGTGTCTATGAAACAAATAAATTTCCTGTTGAGTTTTGGGACCCCTACTCAAGATATTTCTTTATGTACACACAAATATTCTCAAATTCGAACAAATCCAAAATGTAAACTCTTCAAGCACTTCAGACAAGGGATCCTCAACCTGTGCCACGAGATGCCCCAGAAGCACTCATTGCGACACTGTTCCATAATTAGCCCCAGCCTGGTCACCAGGTCAACTCTTGCTCAATGTTATTCTTTACTTCATAACTTCCACATCGAGAAGAACAATACTTCTCTAAAAAGTCAATTGTCCTCAGCAACCCACCTACACAGTTCTTGGAAAATACGGGTTAAATATTCTGCCTTGCGACGAAAACAAGGAACAAAGAGGGTGAGGGAAATCCATCACTGTGGCCCTGAGCTTTTCCTTATTCACACCAAATGTTTTCCAGTCATGAAGTTCAATGATGCTGCCCCTTGGGGCTGCAGAACTATTTTTACAGACACTTGCCAGTAAGGAAGCGGCACATGTTTTAATAAATGGGATTACTCAGTACGAAGAGGCCTCAGGAGGCTGAGGGATGGCGGAACTGAAAATGGGCTGGAAGCAGGAAAGGAACGGCTGGATGTCCGTCCTCCTGCTACCGGAGAAGCTGGAGGGGCAACCCTGTGGGGAGCGTGAGGCATTCAGATAAATGGGTGGCCCCACAGAGCTGGCATCTCAAGCCTCCGGAAAACAGCCAGGAGATAAATGTGTCTGGCTTTAAGAAGAGGCAGCACTGAGTATGGGGGGGTAGGGGGGCTGGCACCCTGAAAGTGATTGGTCAGCAACACCACACACACAAACACACACACACGCCCCATGAATTTCCGAACCTCTTGACCTTTGTACAGCCCAACGGGCTTGCCCCTCTGTCTGTTTGGTGAGCACGCCCAGCCTCAAGGCTGAAGGAACTTGGCTCACTGAATATGAGGCTGAATATATCCCTTTCTGTCCAGAGTTTGTAAATCCAGTGGATCCCTTTACTCCACATATTAGTCAGGATTTTCCAGAGAAACAGAACCATCAGAACACATGTGTGCATGTATGTGCATGTGTGTCTGGTTCACACGATTATATGGGCTGGCCAGGCCTGAGAGTGCAGGGCAGACCAGCAGGCTGAGACCCAGGAAGTCCCGAGGCCGCAGCTGGAGTTGAAAGGCACCATGGAGTCAGGGTTCCTATTCCCTGCTGCTGCTTCGGCCCCGAAAGCTCACCCATATTAAAGATGGGGATGTGCTTCCTTAAGTCTGTAATTCAATGAATGAATAAATGAAGGTAACACTTGGGTTTCTAGCTACATGTTTGTTATTAAAAAATACACACCCCTTCACAATGATAGCTAAGCAAATGTCTACCAAGTATCTCAGTACCACAGCCTGCTCATTTTTGTTCATCTAGCCTAATCCCAACGCTCACCTCTCCTAGGGTGTCTGACCAGCATCTCAAAGTTACCACTCCCACCACTACTTGGCAGATGAATGAGACAAACACCTGCATGCTTGTGCTTCCCACGGAAACCCAGGTCTCTAAGTGCACAAGATCCCCCTATTCTACCTTCAAGATACTGTCAGAGTTTTACAGCTTCGCTCTCCTTTAGCCCACCTCCTGCCAAGCCACTGGCAGCTCCTCCCTAGCGACCACAATGCCCTGGCTCACCTGATAGCCTTCCGATTGGTCCAGCTGCTCCAGCTTTGTCACTTTCAGTCCATTTTCAACACAGCTGCCTACTTAAGAGTCCCCATAGCTCTTTGTGGATAGAATGTTTCCCAGCCTCCCACCCCCAGCCCTGGAATCTCCAACCCTTGGGTGCCCAGCTGGGGCACTTCCTGAAGCCCACCCAGCTGAAAGGCATGCAGCGCCCAGCAGGAGTTGGATAGCCCAATAATGGCTGTGAATTCTATAGGGCATCCCCAGAGGACAAGGGGAGGGCTTTAGGAGCTGCCAGCTAAAGGCCAGGTGGGACAGGGTAGCAAGGTTCCTAAGGCCGCCAGGGAGTTGGGACTGTCCTGTGAAATGTGCTGGGGAAGAGAAGAGTTAGGTGGCAGCCACGTGAGGAAAGGAGGGAGACAGGCGGAAGACAGCAAGAGGGGGCAAGAACCTGAGCAGGTGCCAGGCAGCCTCTGGGAACGGGGCTGCCAGGCGGCTGCAATTTCACACACCAACAGACAGAGGAATCCAGGAACAAAGGCACAGGCAGGCCTGCCGTGGCCAGGAGGAAGAAAGCCTGCCACAGAGCAGGGCACAGGGCCCCACTAGCAACTCCCCACCCTCATCCCCACAGCACCCTGCCTCTTGCTCCTTCCTCCGCAGCATCTGCAGGTCAGCACGTCTCTCTGTGCTCTGAGGCCCAGGCTGCAGACACTGGAGGAGGCAGAGGGGTCAGCTGCCCTTCCTGCCAAGGAACATTAGCTTGGCTTCCCAGGGCCAGCCCAGCTCTCAAGGGCTCAAGATCCCTGCGGGGCCACCTCTCACTGAGCTTAATGAGATGGGGCCACTCCCCCTTCTCAGAAACCCTTCCAGAGTGGCGCATGCAGAGTCTAAGCTTTCCAGCAGAGCAATAAAGGATTTTGTCCCCAAGGAGGCAGCTAGCAGGAAGCAAACCCCATCCATGATAAACAGAATGATCCTAAGAGGGTCCAAGTGGGCAGGGCTGGCCACAGGGCACTAATGATTTAGAGCACGCTCTTAGTGCTCCAGAGACCACCACCTGGAGCCCGCCGAGGGGCCCCTCTTCCCTTTCAGCATTCAACCCCGTTGGAATCACATTTTCTTTCTCAGCCTCCCCAAGGGCCCGCTGGCCCTTTGGGTGCAGTGATCAGGTGGCTATGAAGGAAGCACCAGGTGCGGGGATGAGCACCACACACCATGAGTAGGTCAGAAACCCTACTTGTGCTGAGTGACGGATGATGAGACAGAGAACCTTCACAGTCATCCCATCCAGGTCCTCAACTTCAGATCACATGAGAGCAGAAACTGGTTATCCACTGGATGTCAGGACTCCTCATGGGAGTCCTCAGGCTTTGATCAAGGACTCTACCAGAAATTGAACCTAGCTTTGCAATAAGGCCAATACTGTCATGTAAAATGTCAAGCTTCTTGAAGACCAGTAGAGATGAGGGAGGGAAGGCAAGGCGGTAATCAGAGGGTGACAATTATCAATGCATGTTATATGCATACAACTATATACCAATCTACAAACCGTCACAGTAATGTGCAGGGTTCGTATGCACTAATAACACATAACCCTAATAAAAGATCAAGTTTCTTTGCCTAACACTGGTCAGACTTTTATCAATTTGACCAGAAAGCCCAGGTTAGAAACTCCAACTGGCAGATAGTCTGGGTAAGAAAGTGAGAATATAAATGCTTAACAAATGAACTTTCACTGTAAGCTTCCTCACAAGAAAGGAGAACAAGCGAGAGATTGCACAGGAAAGTGGAGGAACCTGAGACCATCGTGTTAAGTGAAGTAAGTCAGACACAGGAGATACAATATCACAAGGTTTCTCTGATATGAGAAACTTACAATATCAGAGAGTGAAACAAAGGAGAGATAATAGGAAACAAGAAGGCTGACTCTGGACAGGAGAAGTAAGGGAAAGGATCAAAGATATGTTGCATACACATTCTAGTTCCCCCGATGAGACAGGTGAGCACCAGGTGGTCCTGTGTCTTAGCTACCATAAGGGACTTACTACATGGCCCACAGAAGAAACCCTGATTGCATGTGACTCCTGTCCCTCTGTTCTCTCCCCAGCAAGGATGGGTCTTCTGAGAACCAGAGGGTTGGAAGCCTCCTGGCACAGAAGTACAAAGCAGTCAGCTCAGGAACAGTTTACAGTATACTTTAATATCTACAACTCCTTCATGATTTCATTAACTATGGAAAGGCAGAAGAGCAAGCATGGTGATCACATGGTCCAGGTGAAGGAATCAAGCTTGAAGAAGTTGGAAGGTGACACAAAGTCACATAGAAAGTAAGAGAGTGATTTCTTTTTTTTTTTTTTCAGTTATAGTTGTCTTTTTTTTTTTTTTTTTTTTTTTTTTTTTAATTTAAGAGGAAAAAGAGAAAAACACAAAACAAAACAAAGCAGTGTAAGGTTACACATAATACAGAACTACAAAAAAAACATAACAGTAAGAAATCACCTGTTTAATAGATTACATATTATCATCTTGGAAATAGTTGCTCAAATCACAGTATCAAAGAATACAAAGTAGACATTCAAATAGAGAGACTGCAAACAGCTGTGTTCAATGATCCAAAAACATTAATATAGTCAGCTATTTAACATCCCTAAACACACTTGCTGTTATATCCGTTAGAGCTCTTTTTTTTTTTTTTCCCTCCCTCTCATTTTTACAACAAAATTTACACATTTTGGATTTTATTACTCCTTAGTTCTTATTACTTTTTTGGGGGGGAGAGAATAAAGTCAAATATGGCAAAACAAAGCTGTAAGTCAAAACCAAGGATAGACATAGCACATGATGTAGAACAGAGTACAAGGTCATCAACAATGGTTATCAACATTGTCTCTTGTTTCCTTAAAAGGAATGATTTCTACTCCAAGATCAGCAAATCAGTTAAAGCAAACATTTATATTTGTTTTACAGATGGTGAAAATGAGGCATGGGGCTGGAGTAAAGTGACTTACTCCACATCAATGGTAGGGAAAAGGCAGAGCAAGGATATAACCTGAGACTCAAACAGTAAGGCTGAGCTCTTCCCATCTCCCACACATTTGCCAACTTCATGCACTGTGTTGTACATCAAGCCAGGGCCTTCTGTGTGTGACCTGTGGGGCCTTCCAGGTCCCAAGCCACAGCTGAGCAGCCTGGAGCCACTTACACAGTTGTTAACCATCTTGCACACACAAGTGTGATTTTCATGCTCTATTTGGCACTGTTGCAAGCACTGCAGCCACAGAGATAAGCAGCCACGTTGCTGCCTCCAGAGGGCTTGGGTAACCTCCCTACCAGCACCCTGAGATGAACCAGAACACTTGGATCAGAACAAAACCCTGATGATGTGATATTCCAAATCAAACAACAACTCCATCTGAGAGGGGGTAGACGTATGAGGAAAGTTTTCTGGGAAAAGGAATTTTTTATCTAGTCATCAAGGATTACGAAGAGTTTCCCAGGAGGAAGGGAATAGTAGTGTTTGCAGAGGGAAAGGCATTCCCTTTATAAACCTGGGGAATATAAATAATTAGGTTGATATTTGGCAAAGAAAAAATACGCAGTGAGAAAGAAGGGAAGGAGAAAGAGGAGGAGAAGAAGGTATCATGCATCTCTCCACTTGTGGTGGTTAGGGTGAAATGTCTGTTTACTCGGCTTTGGGAGCTACCTTGGTGGACCACATCTCTGGGAGCTTATGGAGATGTAGTCTTGGAGTCTCTGTCTGATCTTGTGTCCCTTAATTTCAGGTGCTGTTCCCTACTCTTATTTCTATGCTATGAACTATGCAGCTTTGTTCTGCCTGGTTTTCCATCATGTTTTGGTTTGGAGCCCACCAACCATGGACTGAATCCTCTGAAACCATGAACTAAATAAATTAAGTCTCTCTTCCTTTAAATTGTGGGTGTCAAATATTGTGCTCCATTGCCAGGGAGGCTGACTAATACACTATTCAAGACTCTGCACTTCAATGAAGCCAGAGGTCAGAACACAAGAAGTACATGTGCTGCCTCCTGGAAGTTTCTACTCAGCAGGGCTGAGGAAGTAAGCCAACAAATTACATGGCACACAGCAGCCAGCTTCAGACAAGTTTCTGGGCATGGGAAAGCAAGCAAGAGACACAGGGCATTCACAGGCAGGTGAGTGGAGGGCTCTGTTCTTAACGGAGGAGTCACAAAGCTACAGATCAGCGACTTAATCTAGCATTTATTCTCCTTGGGGCTCTGACATGGTGAGGTGAGGGAAGAAGGAAGAGAGACAGCTCCAGCGAACAAGTCAAAGGGCTTTCTTAGAGGTCCGCTTCAAAATCAAAAGCTCTGTCTTAAGTTTTCATCCTCAAGGCTGGAAATTTTTCTCAACTGGGGCAGCCCAAGCCTGTACACTGAAGCTAACTCATGGCTCAAAGGCCTCAAAGGCCCATGACGCTGCTAACTGAGTAAATTCTTTTCCAAAGACTCGGTGTTTCCCAAAGAACCCTCTGCTGTGTTCTAGAATCCAGGTTACCAACCAAGAGGATGCTTTTGGGAACCAATGGTTCTATGAAGCCTGGAAGAAGATTTCATGATTTCTCTGTCTTCTGGGTTCTGTTCCTTGCAGCCACCAGTGCCCAGACAGCACTGGGTACAGAATGATTGTACCTTTCTCATCCACCTGACCTGGTACAGGTGGGGCTATGTCTCACACACTGGCACAAAGGAAACAGCAAGGTAACACTGATGCCAAAGAGCCAAATTTCAGTTGGGCAACATTGGGAGAGCCCCTTTGCCTCATGGGCCAGGGGAATCAGACTGTAATCTCTTTGGGTGAAATGGCAGGTAGTCACCATCGAGGGCCTGTTCATGCCCTTCTCTCCAGTGTGGCAGTCACTTATCAGTCAGGATGACAGCACAGCTCACAGAAGTTGCAGAGACACTTGAGAATCCTTGTGTTTGACCCACTGCAAACAGGGTCCTGATTTTTCCCCCGTCCTGCATCTTTGCCCCCATTCCATGTCCCTCTGTGAAGTCCTCCTGCTTTGACACTGAGCTGGACTCCAGGGTCAGCAAAGCTGAGCCTAGCAGAAGCATGCAGGGACTTGCTCTGTTAGGAGTGACCATGCTCCTGCCCTCTGCTCACACTGAAGCATCTTCCCTGGCTCGTCTGCAGGTACGGAAAGGAGATGAAAGCCTGGCAGGAGCTGAAACATCGCAGGCTCTCCAGCTGAATCTAACTGGCAAGCAAGTGGTCCGGCTGTCGAGCGGAATCAGCAGAACCATTCGGGTGACCACCCCAGGACATGAACATAAACACCTGCTCCTAAAACCACTCGAGTTCTGTTTATCACTTGGCCTCACGGTGGCAGTAATAATAGAATGAGCAGATCCCACCATCCGCAGAATGAGAACAGAACAAAGACATCCCAGGCTCCAGGGAGGTGAAGACTGTCACGCTCAGTGGGCAGTGGCCAGGTCTCACCATCTTCGTGACACAGTCTCTGCCTCCTGTCCTGAGAGACCAGAACAACCTCCACAGGACAGCAGGCATGGGGGTGACTGCCCACTCACCCCACGTTGTGGCATTGACAGTCCAGCAGCTGGGTGTCATCACAGAGTTGGTGAGCTGGGACAGCCTCTGCACCCATCCTCTCCTCTCCAGCTCTGGCCTTGAGCTCAACAGCATGGCTGAGCAGATCTCTGGCCACGTCTCGCACTGAAGCATATTCCCTGGCTTTTCTGTAGGGCCAATTTCCTCAGATTTTAAACTTATTCACCTTCCCGGGCCCGCTCTGAGGATCCACTATACAATGAATTCAACACCCCAAAGAGAAGCAGACTGCTATACAACATGACCATTATTGCCA